TTGTCTCCAAAGGAAAAATAGTCACATATTACTTACATAGTAATTACAGGCTATGCAGCTGCCCTACAAAGCTTTACTATAAATGTGTTAAGCATAAACCACTACACAAACCTTATTCAAATTTCATCACACGTTAAGCCAAAGAAATGTCATCCTCCACACCAATTGCTCCTACAAGAACAATGGTCCTCTCCCTAGCTAGGCCGAGACCTAAATAATGTAATAGAATCAATGTTGTTGATGTAGTCTATGGTTGGCTAAGTCATTACTGTTATTTCTCAACAAGTAAAGAGGTCTCTTTTTCCCTTTTTATGCATAAGTGAAGCTTATGCTAATACATGCAAATCTTGAATAAGCTTCTGTGAAACATCATCTGAAGATTGGGAATTCAAAACAACCTAAAAGGCTTCCATCATTGGTAAAAAAATACTGACCTCAATTTCTATATTGCATTGATCCCTGCTTTAAGCCTTTCTAGCATAACAATTTAAAGCTTATACAGCATTTTCATTTGCCTAATACTTTAAAAATATTTATCTGGTCACATGAAGCATTGCAGTAGAATCATGTTTACAAGAGAAGAATAAAGAGGCTGAGGTTTATGCCTAAAATCAGACCTGTGTTCATAGATATGTAGATATTAGCTGCAGTTGCTATTGAAAGTATTTGGATTAATTAAGATCTTTTATGAATCAATAAAATGTGGGGGAAAAAAGGCATGGAAAGCAAATGCAGATACCAGAGACAGTATAAGAGGAGGGTGGAAAATGGCAGAGGGTGAGAGGTACAGAATCAAGGGGGAGAAAAAATAGCAAAATATATAAGAAATAAGAAATGAAAAATTATTCATTGATGATGATACATATGTTAATATCCTTGACTGAGCCAATATACAGTTATTCTGGATGAAAAATCTCATTTCATATACTGTCGTGATGTACAGTGAATGTACCTAAATCTATATTTTTTAAAATGGGGTGGAAGCTCTGGAAATGTTTTAAAGGAAGTTAGTGGAGATAAATTTCTCAGAATTTTAAGCTTATCTTTAGTGATCACAATATTATACATTTTTAAAACATAACTTTGATGTTGTTTTATTTGAACTTTGAAGCAAATTAATTTGGGAAGATTTGGAGAATAGCGTAGCATCTGAAGTTGGCAGGTTTATGACCTTCTTTAGCTACAATAAAATGGGAAAAATCAAACTAGGCTTGATGAAGTATTATTTTACTTTAATTAATGAACAAATTTTTTCTTATTAAAAATAAATCTGTTTTTAAAAAAGAAGAAGAACAACAACAAAAAAGCAAAAATACAGCACTCACTGAAGCTGACTCGCATGCCACATGGGAAAGTTCTAGGTTCATGCCTGGTAGACCTCCTGGTAGACCCCATGTGCCCATGATTCAGGGTTGGCTTTGACTGGAAGTGAATCATGGTATCAAGATCCATTGAGAATATGGCCTCTCTCTTTCTCTCTCTCTCTTTGGCAAGCACATGCACCTTGTGGCAAATTTTTAAAAAATATAGCAATCAGACCCTATCATTTGGTACAAAGTGGGAAGATTTAATGATAAGTGAAGCAAACCAGACAATAAAAGACAGGCATTATATGTCCCAGCTTAATATATACCAAATGTTCGAACTCTATAGAGCAGAAACAAAGGATTGGAAGGTATAATAGCAGGAAGGGCAACTGTAGATACTAGGGACAGTCTTGGGGGGGGGTAGTTAATAGGGGTGAGAGGTAGTGGAACAGAGAAAAAACAAACAAAACATTTAATTGAAAGAAAAATTAAATGTATCTGTTGATGATTTTATATATATATATATATATACACACACATATATATGTAAATATCTTTGACTTGACTAATATGCACTGCATTCACGGTTGGGAAAACCATGTACACTGAAGATGTACAGTGATTAAATATAAATTAAAAGTAATAAAATAATGCAATAGCTTATCAGACTCAACTAAATAAATATCCTGGATTGGATCCTGGAACAGAAAGAAGGCATTGCTAAAAAATTGGTGAAATATTATACTCCATATAACTTTATTTAATTATTATGTATCAACGTTTATTCATTAGGCATGGCAAATGTTTCAGTTATGCAAGATGTTAACAAGAGGGAAACTGGATTCAAGGTATACATAAACTCTCTGTATTAACTCTGTAACTTTCCTGTATATCCAAAACTGCTCCAAAATGAAAGGTTATTACTTTAAATAGACTCCCAGTAACAAAACCAATCTTTATCTACACTAAAATAAATTTACTATATAAGTAATCTCCTAATCTTACATCAACATTTTAAAATGATCCACCATGTGCTCTTGAATTTAAAGAAAGTTAATGACTACACAGAGGAGAGTCAGAAGCAACTCAGTCCTGGAAACACTCCTTGCTTTTAGCCAGCTTCTCCACTGAGTGGGCATAGTAAACTCTCATTCAAGATCCTCTCCTGATAATGACATTTCCTTAAAGCTAGATATCTGGCAACAAAATTACCAAAGAGATAGAGAAAGTATTTTCCCTACTAAGTTGAAAAACTATGTGAACAAAAAATTTTTACTTATTTTATTTCTGTACAGTGCAAAGAACCTCTTACTAAAGTGTGTGGTCCATTTGAAGATAGTGCAATTGATGACATGACTTTTGCAAAAGGAAGTACAGTCTCATCAATCTAGTGATAGATAACAGTTTTTTTCTTAATGATAGCATGAATTTATATAAGTATTTATAGGCAGTGAAAGCACATAAAAGGGACATGACTTCTGTGGAGGCATGCTTAGTTTTATTTTAAATTTATTGGTTCCATGAGTGAGAAAGAGAGAGCTACAGCACCTTGACAGTATCTTGATGTTGCAATCTACCCCAGCCACAGCCAGCCCAGATAAAGACAGTGTGTATATCCAGCCTACTCAGACGAGGTGTATGTGGAGGAGTGGGGCCTAACGAAGGACATTTGGAGAAGGGATACAGAAGTTGAGCATTGACGGGATGGGGAGGTGTGGTGTTATCTGTTAAAGATATTTTGATCAACGGATCTGGGGAGAAATGTGCACATATCAAAATGGTCTCATTGTAAGCCAAACAATATGATTGAAAGTATATAAAAAAAAAAACAAATAATAAGGAAACCAGCAGTTAGCGTAATGGCTATGTCGCTGGACTCCCACAGAGTCGACCGCAGTTTGCATCCTGGACCTGGTGGCTTAAAACCCATGCCAGGCGCGTGTGCATGTGTGCCCAAGATCCCGAGAGGAGAATGGAGGAGAAGGGATTGCGGCGTGACCATCCCCCCTGGGGAGTGATTTCTCTCTTTCCGTCTCTATGTCTCTCTCTGTCGGTCTGGCGAGAACACACGCCCTATAGTGAAAATCTGGAGAACAACCGCCCTATAGGGAAAAACTCTCAAAAAAAAAAAAAAAGAAAGAAAAAAAAATAAAAAATAATGTGAAAAAAAAAAAGAAGGACTCAGAAGGTCTCTGGATATAAAACAGCAACTTTCCCGTGCAGTTCTGCCTTGCAGAGCTTTGTGTGTTACCCTGCATCTCCATCTAGCCATCTCCATCTACTCCATTTTAATCAGTTGAATAAAACAATTTTGGTTTAGGAAGAAAATTAATAAAAAAAAAGGAGAATGTACAAATTTAGATAGAAAATTATTATAGTTGGTGTGATGGTTATAGTTTCTTCAATAGATAGGAATAGGAGATAGACAAACCAAATCTAAAAGATGGAATTCCTTGTGACACCAGGTGGCATGGTGGTTAAGGCACTGGATTCTCACATGCCTGGCCATAGTTCGAGTTCGATACCCGGAACTTGAAAATCATGCCAGGCACGTGTGTGTGTGCGTGTGTGTGCCTAAAATCCTAAGAGGAGAAAGGAGAAATAATGATCATGTCAAGCTCATTCCACAATTCTCACTTTCCCTTTATCTGTCCCACTTCACCTCTTTCAGCAAGCTCATGAACCCCATTGAAAAAAACCTTTTTTTTTTTTTTTTAAGATAGAATTGCTTATGTGTCTATGGGCTAGCTCTGTAGCTCAGTGGTTAAGGAAACTAAATCCCATGTCCCCAGCTGCAATTCAAATCCTGACTCTGACAACTTGAAACACTACAAGCTTGCGTGCAAGTGTGTGCCCATGGCTGCACCTTCGTTGGGGAGGAGGTACTTTCTCTCTCTCCAGTGAGCACACATTTCCTCTGACGACATATACAGAGAGAGTTACTTCTGGTCTACACGTGCAGCATATTATTTGGTATGAGTACTTTGTCTCTGAAAGCAAAATTTAGACAACAAAGAGTTGTAATTATTTTGTAAAAGATACCAAGCATTTTTGGATACTGTAGAGAGCTGAGAAGTTATGTGTTAGAGTTTTGTCATAAGAATAGTCATGAGATGGAGGAGAACATCTCCATGAAGAAATGGCACAGGAAAAAGCAACACGAGGTCCCTGAATGAGATGTGGGTAGGGATGTCAACTGCTGCTGCCCTCTCAGTGTTTTATGTTCCATGATTTTTCTTTCACTTCTGACCTTAAGCCAGTGACACATAGTGCCTTTTGTTAAAGATGAGTTAGGTGGTGAAGAAATGCAGCTGTTATCTAGCGAGAAGAGGAAGAATCAGGACAAAATGGCAGTGGAAAGGGCAGGCGGAGGACTGGTCAAGGATTTTGGAAGAGTGGAGCACACTTAGGATCCTGAGACAGAAGGCACTTCAGAAACCCTTGGCATCTGAGGCCTAATACATAGAGGGTAGGATTGGCATTAATGTGCATATTCACTGAAAAGGTGACAGCAAAAGCTTGGAGGATTTTACTGTAGAAGCAGCAAAAGCATGGCTTTTATATGTAAAAGTCATAGAAATGAAAATAATCCATCTAGCTATAGAAATATTTGTGATAGAATTGTGGATATCTTTTCTTTATCTAGTAACTCACTGACAATTTAACAATTTTCCATCCATACGATATTCTTACCTTCCTCTTGGCAAGTCTGCATCATCCTTTTTCCATCTCACGGTTGGTTGAGGATCTCCCTGGACCTGACAGCGGAATTCTACAGCTTCTTCCTCCAGCACTACCTGGTTAATTGGCCTCCTGAGAAATGTTGGTCGTTCTTGAAAATAAAAAGAAAATGAAAACATTAAATAAAATTAAATAATGTGCAGGTTTTAAGTAAATTATGGAAAGCAAAGATTAAAGAACATGTCATTTATTTTGGATACATAAGTACCTAACTCTGTATCTTAGCTCTGTCTTGATAAGACCTTATAAATTGAATAAAAAAAATATTATAGAATACAGAAATATCTATGATTGGTACATTAGCCCATACAATGAATTTCTGAGCCAAATCAGGTGGAACCTACCACAAAAAACAAAAAACAAACAAAAAAAAAAAACATTGAATTCTACAGAAATGAAATGTTTAAAAAAATTGCTTTAATCTTTTATCACAGCTCAATGCAGGTAAACTGAAGGTTTGAAACTAATACATTAAAAACGTTTAGAAATAAAGCAAACAGTTAACATTCCATGGAGAATACTTGAGAAAACAAACCAAAACTTGTGCTCTCACACACAAAAAAGTGTTATCCAAATTTTCCACTTAAGGTTTTATTTGACAAGTACCCACCATATTCATGGCTATTTCCACTTCGTCTATGAAAAGTTGCCTACCTGTTTTTTTGTTCTTAAATAGAGAGATTGTAATTATTAGTTATTGCAAACTTTACAGTCATTCATAATTTTCTGTTTTTCATCAGTGATCTTCTAAATGGGTCAAGATATTTACCATTTTTACTTCATCTTTACATATATTTTTTCTTTCTTTGGTATTCTGTTTTAGAGTTTCCATTCTTTATCCTTTTGTTAATCTGTACATGACACTATTAATTTGCATTCTCACACTCCTATACAGAAAACTAGGGAAAATCAAATCCTACCCGTAAGAATTCTTCCTTGTTTGGTTTCTTCCACTTTGGGTAACGGTCTGACACTGAGAGAATTACCATTTAAATGTTATTAACATATACCTCCAAATCATAGGCAAGTCTGATATTGCTACTTATTGAAGTAGAAAGAGAAGTAAGTCCAGGAAAAGAAAAATAAATCCATAGGGAGCTGACACAATTTAGCTGGCCATCTGGCCATATTTAGCCCTGTAAGAGTTTCGTTTCTAACCTTCTAATTTAGAATTTTGAATATAGTGGCACAAAACCTGACAGATTAGGCAGGGAATTTGAAAGGATGTAAATCACATCAAATGTTTGCTAAGAGTATACAATAGGAGAAAATATGATTTTGTTGACTAAATCATGACCCACATTTATAAAACAAATGTGTAAGTTGCAAGAGAAATATTTTCACTATAGCCAGTGTTTACTGACATGCAGAAGGAAGATAAGTGTTATCTCTCCAAAGACAATTTGAGTGTAGAGATAAAAAATTGTCTTCAAAACACCAAGCTGCCTGAGAAAAACATGGTTGCATTTGAAAATTAAAGTCAGGCAAAATTAATTAGCAGCAAACTAGGACCTACAGAAAACAGAACAAGTCTACATGTTGAATAAAATGACTTACTATTATCTTTTTAGTTTCTGGTCCCTATGAGTTCAAAACAGCAATTTCAGGAGTGACATAGCTGATACTGAGCTATCATATCTGGCAGCAAACAGGCAATAGGATTACTATGTCTCTGCGAGTGTTCCAAATGTTTATACATAGTGAAATGGGTCATTAGCACAGGAAGCAGGATTGACTTTTTTTTGTGCACTATATCATACTGGGCTATTCATCCAGTTCATCTAAAAGTTGCATTAACCCAATGTTAAAAAGGGTTAAACCATGTGGATATCACTTGAGAATGAAAGATTATTCATCAGGAAGAGACCCTTCCTGCCCTCTCTTACTCTAATGGGTGTATTGTACTACAACCTGGCTGATGAGTCAATGGGCTGGAGAGGTCTCTCCCTTATCCACTCATTTATTCAGCACGTGTTAGTACAGCCTCTCCTATGCCAGGTGTCACGCATGGCTGCTGGTGGAGAGCCAATTGCTTGGTTTCATCAGGAAATCTGTGGGAGATGAAGCAGGCCAGAGAGTGAGGAGCCAGACTATGCAGGGCCTGCACGCCACACCGATGAATGTGAGTGTTTCCCTGAGGGTGATGGAGAGCTGCCGAAGAATTTTTAAGTAAGAGAGCAACATTTTTATTAAGCATATGAAAATGATTGTGTTGGCAGATGTGTGAAAGATGATTTTGAAACATGAAGCACTGAGTTAGGTCAGAGGGTTATTGGAAGAAATTATTTCAGCTTAAAATGACACAGTGATTCCGAAGATACGAAAAATGGAACAGACTAAAAAGATCAAATCTGAGGAGTCAATTGGATCCAAAGGTGAAAAAAAAGAAAAGACTAGATAAATTCTCAACTTTCATTTAGCAAATTGGAACACATTGGCAAGTAAACTGTCCCAGTGTTGTAAAGAACGTGTGTGTGGCGGAGATGAGTGTGAGGTCCTTTCACTGAAGAAATGGCAGACAGGAGAAAAAGAACCACTGTTAGTCATGTATGTTTTTGTTACTGGGAATCAAATGAATTCTGAAGTAATAAGATAAAGGAAGTTACCTATACACATACTAGAAAGAGAGAAAAGAGAAATAATATCATACTGTGGTTACAGCTCTTGGGTTTAAAAATTCTCAACAAAACAGTAATCAAAAGAAACTTCTTTGACATGATGAGGATATAGAGTCAGATATCAAATGCCAAAACTACTTTAAAAAGTAAGATACTATACATATGCCTCTTGAAATCAAGAACTAGGCAGGTATGCCCATACCAGGAATTAGCAAGATTAAAAAATATGTGAGTATGGAAGAACCGAAATACCATTACCTGAAGAAATTCTGCAATACATAATGATATAGGACAGTAACATTGATCTTTGATAATTACAACAGAAGTTAATAATATATAGGATCATTGCAGCAATGTTGGCACAAGTAGAAAAAGCTGAATTTTAGAGTAAATTAGGGCAAATTCATACATCAAAATCTACTAAGACAGGAGAATACTCAAGTTATCTACCTATTAATATGAAAAGTTTTTATGTTCTTATGCTGAGAATAGAATAAATTATAAAACTGTATAAGAGGCTTCTTCATTAAAATACATATGTAGGGCCAACCCTGTGGTCTGGTGATTAGGGGAGCTGGTGGCACTAGAAACACGTCAGGTAGGACCAGCGTCATGGTTGCACAGAACCATGTGGTTACATCTCTGGGCTTCTGTGTTGTCACCTGCACTTCAAGTCCTGGACCCAGCAACTTAATGCATGTAATGAGTGAATGTGCCTGCATGCCCAAAGTCCTGAGAGGAGAATGGAGAAGGGATTGTGGTTTGGCCAACCGCCCTGGGAGGGAATGGTGATTTCTCACTTTCTGTCTCTCTGTCTCTCCAGTGTATGCACATGCCCTATAGCAAAAATTTCTCTAAAAGTAAACAACAACAACAAATCAGGCAATGTATGTGCATGCCCTCAATCCTGACAAAACTGAGAAATGGAGAAGGTATTGCACCTTGAACATGCACCATCAAAGGGGAGTTTTCTCCCACTCCCTCCCTTGCTCTCTATTTATCTGGAATTGCATGCACCCTCTGGTAATTAAGCCAAAAAATACATAAGTAGATTTTTTTAGGCAAAGATTTGTGTATTTCCCTTAACATGCTACCAGCCACAAGAGTGGAATGTACAATTCATCTGAAGGGAAAACTTTACATTAAATATGTACTATTTTTGCTTTTGTTTTATTTTTAGTTACAACTATGCTGTCCCTTTCTTCAGGAAACACAACCAGAATCCTTAAGGATGTTTTGATTATAATACATGTTTGAAGACCCATTGTTTTATATGGAGGTATGGGGAAATACCTGATTCATCTTTTCATAAAGAAACAAGACATAAATTTCTCTGCAGCTGTTCTAAAGAACTAGGCGGGGATGCAAAACTCCAAAATGAACCTTTTCCCTTCCCTTCTGCCCTCAAGAGGAGTCCAGGTGCTTAGCAACTGTGCAACCACAGGAGAGGCCGGGGTATTCCATTTCTGGATGTCTCGTACTGCCGCAGGGTAGAAAATGAAATTCCAATGATAAAAAAAGTAAGATGTAAGGAATAACTGAGATGAGTCACTTGAATATACATGACATATTGAGTTTTATACTTCAGTTCTTGGGTTGTGTTGTCTAGCAAAATAATATTAGAGTTTACTAACATATTGGAGTTTGGTCACAAATTTTAATGTATTATTCTGAAAATTTCTATAGCTCTCTTTTCAGTAATTATCTTTCATTGCACTCATTATTCCAATTTTATTCTGTTAATAATACTAAACTTGTTTTCTACTTTGCAATTATCAGAAGTGCCTACTGAAAACAGTATGTTAAAAAATTATACCACACAGAGGTGTGAAGCTGCAGCTGCATGGGAGGTCTGGGTTCAGATACCAGACCAGCCTGAACAGAACGGGTGCAATGGTATGAAGTGTGGTCTTGGATGACTGAGAGGTAGGAGCAGAGGTTTGCTGCAGAGAGAACCTGCCAGGAAAGTGCCAACCTCTTCTCTCCCTCTTTCTCTTTCTCTCCCTCCTCTGCTCTCTCTTTTCTCCTCTCACACTCACTCTTACTCTCTCTCCCTCTATCACTTGCTCTCATTTAAAATCTTTCAAAAAGTCTGTAAGTTTGCCCAACACTTACTTAAACTTAAGTTTGTTTTGTTTGGTTTGGTTTTTGGTGTAGGGCACAAGCATTTTCTGAGAGAGCCAGAGAAGGAGGGAAAGTGAGAAAACACTCTGGCAGGATGACCACATTACAATTCCTTCTCCTCCATTCTCCTCTTACGATTTTGAGCCTGCACACATACATGCACCTGGTGCGTTTTTTTAAAACTACCTGGTCTGGAATTTGAACCATGCAGTCAGCCATGTGGGATTTTGCTGCTTTAGCCACCATGCCACCAGCTGGCCCATATAATGTAAAAGAAATTGTTTTCCACATTTGTTACCATACTTTATTTCCAGAAAATCTGAGAGTTAAGGATAAGAAGTTGTACAGGCTGAAGATGTATTTTCAAATGCTTTGGTTACTGTTATCTTAAGGCAGGTTCAAATCAAGCCTCTTTCAGACACAAATTACAAAGATTACAAAGAAGAGTCTTGGGTCTCCTTTTTTGTCTGTAATCATCTACTAAGAAATGGAAAGTTAAAAAGATTAGAAAGTAAGTTGGTGATAGAACCATCCAGCAAGTTGATAAGTAATCACACTCAATAGCCATTAATATCCCACAGAGTTTGTACCCATGAAGCTCAATTAAAATAAATATGTATGAAAATCTTGAACCATTGAGTAACAAGCAAACTTAATTTCGAGGCATGTCAAAATAAGGTCAATGATATTTTTTCATGTTATCACCTTATGTCTGACCACATATTAAAAAAAACAAGGGGAGAAATCTCTAGGGCTGTTTGCTGACTGCTTAACAATTAGATTAGAGTTCCCCAAATGGGCTGATCCATAATTATATAACTATGGAGTGATCAGAGGTAATGTCTTTGCCAATGCAATTAACATTTTTTTACGTGAGATTAACTGGATTTGAATCACCTGCATAACTTGCTTACAAGGTTAATCTCTCCTGAGACAGTTGTGTTGTTTGCCTGTGTTAGTCTGTAAAATGCAGATCTTGGGTAGTCCCGGCAATTTAATTTCAAGTTGGCATTTTAGAAAATACAATTTTTTATGCAGTTATAATAAAATCAAATGCCAAGTCTTATCATAGTTATATTAATAATATTCAGAAAAAAATGTTCAATGTAACACAAAATACCATAAATCTGAAAAGTGGTGGCATAATATCTCTTAAGTTTCCTAGTTATGTGCTACAATGAAGGAAAATAAGTGCCCGTGAACAAAGTTTTCTTTTTAACTCTATGCAGTCATTGAAAATGCCTTTAATCAGTGGCTATGCCCTGTCAGTGACTTCCAGAATGACCTTAACAATTTAAAAATAAACTGTGCTTAACATTATAAAAATAACATTGTAGCAATAATTACATGAGTAGAGTTCTTGAAATCTAAGACCAAAGATACTAGAACTATCCATTGTTTTAAAATCTCATCTTGGCTATACCCAGCCAGTAAAATCTGTCAGACTACTAAATTAGGAAGTGTCTACTAAATTAGAAAGTCAGAGGGAACAGCAGGTAGAGTAGGGGGTTAAGATGCTGAACTCCTGCATGGCTGACCATGGTTTAAATCCTGAACCCAGTGGGTTGAAAATCAAAATACTTGAAGATTGAAAAAATGATTTCTTTTCATAGCAATAAGTTTCAGAAAACAGATGACTATTGTATTGGAAACTAATCTTTCATTCTTTTTCATGGATTTCCTGTGTCTAATTGAATTATATTTTTAGAATAATGAAATACCATCAGTTATATTTTCTATAAATAAAGATTTAGTTGAAAAGGACACTTAAAAGCCTATAGCAAATGAGAGGTATAGTGGCTACTTTTTTTAAAGTAAAATTGCTGCAGCGTGAAAATAAACTTGAGAAGGTAGAGGGAGAAACACAGTCAATCAGCTTTACTTATGTAAACATTAGGTCAGAAATGATAATACCTAACAATGAGAAAATATAAAGAAGTTTATTAGAAAATTCATATTAGATTTGAGAGCATCAAAATGAAACAAAAAGCCTCACCATAAATAGCACATTATTTATTTTCTGGTCCCTGACTGCAGGGAATCAAGGTATATAGAAAGTCTCTCATTCAGTATTGACCACATTCTTGGTTTAGACCATTTTCTTTTCTGTTTTTCTTCTGGATTTTAGTGTTGTTTTCTTTTCAATAATGGAATTTTAGTTTTCTCCTCAACTTAATATTGTACTTATCACTCCTCAGGTCAATTCTGACTGGTTTATACCATCAGATAAATGACTTTCGGCTTCCTAAATCAATTCTTGTAGACAAATTGCCTCTAGACAAATTCGGTCTCTTGCTTGATAGCTATTTTCAAAATAATTTAGAAGTTCCCCATAACTCTTGCCGTATTTAGGGATCTCCTGTAGTTTTCATCATGTTTTTAGGGAAATTTTTTTTGGAAAGAAGGGTAAATATTTTAAAGCATAGTCACATTATTGGTGAGTTTAACTGCCTTGGTAATGACATTAATCTTTTCTGTTTCACTCTGAAGGCAGTCTATACTTCTGTAATGCAGTGTTTCTATTCCAAAGCTTGTGGTAGTAACAAAAAAAAAAAAAAAAAAAACCAGCAATGAGTGTGTCTTTAAATAGAAAAGCTGTACTTGTGGGCTTTTAATGCTAATGTTTAGTGACCACTAATTTCATATCTTAGCAGGATAAAGTGTATTTTACTCATTACAAAGTGGAGTGTATTTTGAGACTCTTAGCGATGACTACATGGAAATTAAGGGCAAACTGATACTTGTCTGAGCTCTGCAGGACAGATATTCAATGAGTGTTTCTTTAAATAGAAAAGCTGTACTTGTGGGCTTTTAATGCTAATGTTTAGTGACCACTAATTTCATATCTTAGCAGGATAAAGTGTATTTTACTCATTACAAAGTGGAGTGTATTTTGAGACTCTTAGCGATGACTACATGGAAATTAAGGGCAAACTGATACTTGTCTGAGCTCTGCAGGACAGATATTTACATGCATATTTTGAAACAGTTTTATTTTTACTATTCAATTCATTTAATGAATTATGAGATTTCTGCTGGCTTTGTTATTTGAGAATTCAAGCTGCTTAGTATCCATAGGGAATATTACCAGAGATTGCTTGGTACTCAGAGTGATTGAAAAAAGAGGCCGGTGCTCTGGTGCATATTCAAAAAGCACAAACTGAACTCTTGAAATTTGATGTAAATCATCATATGGCTCTTTCCATTGTGGGCTTCCCATTATGCCATGGGAAGGCAGCTCCCAAATTGCAGTAGAATTTTCTTTAAGGCCGTATGCAGAACTTGGATGTCATGCTGGGGTATGTCTTGGAGTAATGACTTGAATTAGGGATATTAGATCACACACAGAACCAGAAGATTACTATACTGGCACAGAAAAGCAACTTTAAAATTACAATGATCTCTAGTGAAAGCTGAAAAACTCTACTGCATAGAAGGAGAGAGTATAATGGTGAACATCTGAAAGTGGAAAATGGAGAGGAAAGTGGTGGGGATGAGGAACAGAATTTGGTTAACAAATACAAGAGCATGTAGATGATAGAATCGGTTATTGAATACTCTAGTATAATAAAGAAACCAGGTGATAATTCAATATATATTTCAAATTAAAGCATGCATTTCAATGTGCTCAATATAATGTAATGATAAATATTGGAGATGGTGAATATATTTTGTCCCTAATTAAATCAAGTCATATTGTACATATTTTTTGAAAACCACCTAGTACCCACAAATATGTACAATATTATATAAAGCAGAGAAACTATTAATAAAAATTAGAAGACTTTCTTGTACTTAGAATTAAAATAAGGATATCAACAAAAGAAAACTCTTATTAATACACACATATATGTACACATACTCAAGTATGAGAGGATTTCAAGAAATTTGTGGAAAGATAGAATTAAAATACAAGTTTATTCTAGGACCAAAAGATTTTTAAAATTTTTTTTAAATACACATTTTCCATGAACTTTTTAAGCACACATTCTCTCTCTCTTCATATATATATAATATATATATATATACATACACACATATTTATGACATATATATCAAACACATATGTATGTATACACGTATTGGTACACATGTCTGTACACATTGTGTGTGCATGTGTGTGTTTATAGATATGAAATTTTGTTATACAAACTTGAATGGGACTTAAAAGTATTCTAAAGAAATACCGCATTGTCCATTATCTTTAAGATCTCTATTCTCTCTGATTTTCTGATATTTTATTTCTCTTTCAGTTCTCAAGAGTTGTCCTGTAGTACTTGGTTTATTGTTTAATTGGTCACTTTACCCCAAATTTTCTTTTTCCTGATACTTTCTCTGCTATTTCTGTGATACAGATAGAACTAGTTTTCAAACCTATTCTTCACATCACTCCATCTAGAGTTCCTTGATTCTTAAAGTTGGAGAAACAGAAATATACAAAATACTTCTATTTATAGGCCTTTTTTTCCTAAATTAGATTTTATATGTAAGTGTGAATAGATTCACAGATTTTTTTTTTAAATCATAAACTAAAACTATAAATACCTCAATTTGAAATGTTAAGAAGCATAAAACAGGTGTTTTGGCACTTCAGTCTTGAATTTTTAAAACCTTACCTCGCACCATGCACATAATATATATACATAATAAATGAATCATAGTGGAATGAGTGATAAACTCCACAGACGTAATTTCTCAAATAGACTTTGGGAAAGCATTTTTTTTTTTTTACATTTTATGAAAGGCAAAATCCCATAAATGCACAAATAAAGTAGGTGAGTTGATGTTTCAAAAATTGTCTTTCCATCAAAGATGTCATGAGAAAAACAGAAAACAAGGTGATTCTATAATATACTGCTTGGCCTCAATGTTAATAAAAATATGCCACAGTATGGGAAAAGAAATGATAAGTAACAATTTGTATTTTGAAAAAGAGTTTTACCAAAGACAGTCAGCTCTGCTGGATCGCTGTCTCTTTCTCCCACCATGTTGGTGCCAACACAAGTATACATCCCCGCGTCACTTTTCCTGGTGTTGGAGATCATCAGTTTTCCACCACGGATCTGTTAGAATTATCCATGCCCCCCAAAAAAAGAAATGAAAAAGAAAAAGGAAAGGAAAGGTCATTAATAAATAATTTTGAGTGTTTAAACACATTTTCTTTCCCAATGAAATTAGCCGAATGACACACTAACTTTTCCCATTAGTTTGTGCTTTCTTTCCTTAAACACTCCCTCAATGTAAGTCTCCATATTTTCTTTCTAGGGTAAGACTTCTCTTGTGTGATCCTATTTTGAGTCTGACAACTGTTTCCACTAAATATAGTGGTTCGTTCTCACACTGACTTCGCTGAATGTAATGTGATTGCTGTTTGTTATCAAAAGGAATATTAAATATTTGCTCTGGATAATATAATGAAACTCAGCTGACTTAGACTAATTCAAGAAGTATTTATTGAGGCCTGTATGAGCTAGGAAGTATTCTAGCACTAGAGAGACAAAAATAAACTAAATAGTAAAAATCTTTGCCTTCCCAAAGTTTACATTTCAATCGTTAATATTAATCATCCTTGTTTCATCTTAATTGTATTTGAGAGGAAAATTTGGTGTGAAAGCAGGTTGAATAAAAAATAAAATTTATAAAATGATGAGTATAAGTTGGTACAAATTGGCATGTAATAGGTACTCCCTATATATTTCTTTTTTATTTTTATTTTTCAGAGAGATTTTTCTCTATAGGGTGCGTGCACCAGACAGACAGAGAGAGACATTAGAGACAGAAAGCGAGAAATCACCCCCCGGGGGGATGGTCACGCCGCAATCCCATCTCCTTCATTCTCCTCTCGGGATCTTGGGCACGCATGCACATGTGCCCGGCGTGAGTTTTAAGCCACCGGGTCCGGGACACAAACCGCGGTCGACTATGTGGGAGTCCAGTGACAGCCATTACGCTAACTGCTGGTTTCCTCCCTAAATATTTCTTAAACAAGAATCATTTATTGACTTGAATAGATAAAATAATATTAAAATGTCCATTTATTAAAGAGGACATTAAAGCAGAGGTAGGCATTTGATAAGTGTATCATCATTCAAAGCTTCTTTTCCAGTATTTTTAAATTTATCTGATTCAGCAATCTTAACATTAACAGTGATTAATTGCTCTTAAAGAGATACAAATATGTACTGGTTTCCTTCATTATTTATTTATTGTTTTAGTTTCATAGGCAAACACAATCCATGCAAGTTTGTTTTCTTCATTGATGTTTCAAGTTCTAAATCTTACCATGTCATAAAAAGAAATTTCTTTTTTTTTTTTTAAGAGAGATTTTGCTATAGGATATGTGTGCTTGCTAGAGAGACAGAAAGAGAGAAATCACTCCACCTCCCTGGGGGAGAGGGAGAATGGCTATGCAGCAGCCCCTTCTCCTCCAGTCTCCTCCTGGGATTTTGGGTGTGCTTGTACACACACCTGGCCTGAGTTTGAAGCCTTCCAGACTAGTACTCGGACTATCGACTCCGTAGGAATCCAGTGACATAACCATTGTGCCATGCTGTCAGAAAGAGGTTTTCAACTTTTTTTACATGGAAAGAAAATAACCAACAACCTATTCTCGATTATGTCCAGTAGCATGTAATAGAAGCTTACGAAAATGGAATCCATTTCTCCTCCTCTTAAAGATGAACTTGCCTAGGAACAAGCAGTTAGCATAGTGGCTATGTTGCTGGACTCCCATGTAGTCGACCGTGGTTCGTGTTCCAGACCCAGGGGATTAAACTCACACCTGGTGCATGTGTGTGCGTGCCCAAGATCCCAAGAGGAAAATGGAGGAAAAGGGATTGTGGTGTGGCCATCCCCCCTAGGGGGTGATTTCTCACTTTCTACCTCTCTGTTTCTCTGTCTGGTGAGCTCATGCACACTATAGCAAAAAAACCTCTCCAAAAAAAAAAAAGATGAACTTGCCTATGCAGGTGGTCTTCAAGAAGATTGTGAAAAATGTGCATTAGGGAAAAACTAGGCATTCAAAAAAATTTGCACAAAATTAAACTTACAATTTAATTCTATTTTTCCACAAACTTAAAAGTTCCTTTGTCTAATTTGATTTAATCCATGAATTTAAAGAAATATTTTATGAAAAGAAATGCATTTGCATATTGAACTTTGCCATCTCCTTCTAACCTTGGAATCTTGAGATCCACCACTCTGGGAGCCAGCCTGAGCTATCCTGTTACAAAATTAGAGGCCCCGAGAAGGAGCCTTTAATGATCGAGATGGCCAGCGAGGAGTCAGTTTATTGCTAGATATCTGAATTAGGTCACTCTAGAGCATCCAGCTGCCCGCACAACTTTAACGGGTTATGGGAGGATGACAAAGTCTAGCAGAAATGAGCCAAGTTGGTTTATAGCAGAAGAATCAGATTACCCACAGAATCAGATTCTAAATAAGCGGCTATTATAAGACGCAGTGGGGTGACTTTAGGAGTGGTTTATTGCAAATCCAAAGCTAAATGCTAGAAACATGAACTAAAATCTTCAAACACTGACTTGACTGCATACCAAAAAGGACATTTTTATGTATTTGATAGGCAGTCACAGATTACTGAACACCGTATTCTCTCTGGGAACGTAGATCCTCACAATTTTAACAGTTAAGCTACAGAAAAGTTAATATATATTGTGATATTTTACATAGACTATCCAATTCTATGTTATGTTACACATGTGAATAAAAAAATCTTCTTTTATAATGAATATATTATTTATTTATTTGTTTGTTTGTTTGTTTGTTTATTTATTTATTTTTATTTATTTGGAGAGGTTTTTGCTATAGGTCACATGCAATCGCCAGAAAGACAGAGAGAGACAAAGAAACAGAAAGCGAGAAATCGCCCCTCACAGGGGATGGCCACGCCACAATCCCTTCTCCTCCATTCTCCTATTGGGATCTTGGGCACGCACACACACGTGCCTGGTGTAAGTATAAGACACTGGATCCAGGACTCAAACTGCGGTTGACTACATGGGAGTCCAGTGACATATCCATTATGCTAACTGCTGGTCCCAAATATATGTATTTAAGATAATAGGTACATAACAGCTTTTGATTGAAATGGTTTATTCAATCTAATGAGACATTATCTTAAAACATACTCAATCTTGTTGTTGGCCAAGTGGGACATAACTCTCTCTGTCTCTCTGGTGAGTGCATGTACCTTATAGCAAAAATGTTCCTAAATAAAAATTTTTAAAAATACTCACTGTCTTGGGACCAGCAGGTCGTGTAATGATTATGTCGCCGTACTGCCACATGGCTGACTACAGTTCAGGTCCTGGATGCGGAAGCTTGAAACTCACATTGGGTACATATGAGTGTGTGCCCAAAGTCCCAAGAGGAGAATGAAAGAGAAGGGATTGTTGCATGAGGGAGAGGTTTATTTCTTGCCTTCTGTCATTCTGGCAAGTGCACATGCCCTATAGGAAAAAAATCTAAATATATGTATATATGCACTTACACAACACATATATGAGTAAATATATATACACACACACACAACACGTACATGTATGTTGTGTGTGTGTATGTGTGTGTGTATGTTCTCATTTACAAACTTCACCACAAATATTGAGCTGGCCCTCTGAAAAAATTAAGTGATTACACACTATCCTTTTTTTGTTGTTATAGAGTGCATATACTCACCAGAGAGACAGAAACACAGAGAGAGAGGGAAAGTAGAAAACAGCCCCCTGTGTGGGGATGTCTACACAGCAATCCCTTCTCTCCCATTCTCATCTGGAGACCTGGGGTACACATATATGTGTACCTTATGTTTTTCAAGGCCCAGGGTCCATTCCTCTAACCTTGTTGTTGGCCAAGTAGGACATAAACACCTTAACAACCATGCCCCCAGTGGACCTCATAGCATTCTTCTGCTCTGCCTTTATAAGCAGCTTCTGGGAGTTTAATTTTAAATCTTCACCAACTGATGAACATGATCATCAATGGTGTTTGACGCACAGAATTTTTTCTACATGAGCTAAACTGCAGAATCAACCAGGCATTGTATTTCATATATATTTTATTATATTTATATGTATTTTATTTCATATATATTAAATTTCACCTTATTTTAATAATACATAAAATTTTACTGTGGTAAATTAATTGAAAAAAGAAGAACAAGTTTTTGAGCTATCCATCACCTTTTTTCTTGTAATTATGAAATCCTGCAACATGAGGTGTTGTAGTTATAATAGGGTTTATGGCTCTTACACTTTAACACCCATGTAGGATATAATCAACAGAAAATGTTGGAGATTTTTAAAAGACTAAAATATCAATAATGTACTGCAAAGATAGGCTTACAAGTTATGCTCAGCGCAATCACTAATATATCATGTACCCTTGATTTGCATAATTTTTCTCTTTCAAGCCTCATCTCAAAGTTTTTGTTTTTAGTTCAAGACAGTGTAAATACTAATTAGCATTCAAATATAAGTTCATTAAAAATACATAAAATACAACTGTTTTAAGACTTGAAATTTAATCAAAGCTCTTGTTTTAATTGAACTCACACTTATTCTTTCTTCTTTGTCATCAATTCGGACTTTGTCCTTTTTCCAATAGATGGTGGGTTCTGGGTGTCCCCGGGGTGGCTGGCACTCCAGGATTGCAGGCTCTCCAGCCGCTACTATAACATCTGTAGGGTTTTGCCGGAAGTCATCACGTAACACTGGAGAAAAATAATTATAATAAAAGAAAATTAAATGACAATAACTTTGACTTTCTTTTGCAAAAGATAACTTTGAGTCATGTTCCTTTTATTCTATAGTAAAAATTGCCTTGGTGTAATGGTTATATTGGTGGACTCTCATGTAGTTGACTGTAGTTTGAGTCCTGATTGGGTGGCTTAAAACTCACACTGGGCATGTATGCATGCATGCCCAAAATCCTGGGAGGAGAATGGAGGGATTCTGTCATGCTACCCAGATGTTGCTCGGCATGAGGGGATGCAGAGAGAATGGGAATGTAGCCCTCTGTATGTGAATGCTAGTGCATTGTGAGGATGAACAGTGAGTCATAGTGTAGAGATTGTGGCATGGTCATCTTCCTTGGAGAGTGATTTCTTACTTTCTACCCCTCTGTCTCTCTGTCTCCCCCATTAGTGCATGCACCCTATAGCAAAACTCTGTCTTATAAATTCCCTGGGGGCCTATGGGTGGCATGGTGGTTAAGGCACTGAACTCTCACGTGGCCAACTACAATGCAAGTCTCAGACCTGCGGCTTGCTTTCTCTCTGTCTCTGTCTCTCTGATGAGTGCATGTGCCCTGTGGCATATTTTAAAAAATAGTAATAATAAATAAAAATAAATAAATAATTCTTCAAAAACAATTTTCTGGATAGCCATGCCCATCCTAATATATTATCAAGCCAAACTAAATATTCATCAACAGGGATGACTGACTATATAATCATTCATCTTTGCTCAAAAATCTGATCTAAAAAATGAAATAAGTGCAAGGAAAATAGATGAGAACTCTCCATAATGTAATTTTGAGAATTAATCGCATTTTAACTTATAAAGCAAGGTCAAAACTTCATGTAATAAGATTCTGTTTTTGATCAAGTAAAAGCATGTAGGCATATGTGCACATAAATGCACTAAAAGAAATGTTGAACTTGCATTAAAATTTGAAGCAAGTAATGTGCATGGGTTTGTATGCATGTATTGATGTCTCTCTGTGAAGGGAGGAGGGATTGGAACTCAGAGAAAGTACTTGCCCATTACATGAACATGGACAAGACCCACACTGTTTTCATTACACTTCAGAAGATCAACTCACATTGTTCATCCTTGCAACGCTCTAGCACCCGCATACAGAGGGCTACATTCCCATTCTCTCTGCATCTCCACCTGCCGAGTGACATCTGGGTAGCGTGACATTCAGAGCAGAGATATCCCTTATAGCAGTTTGACCAGTCTGAATTTCCCCCTTTCATTAAGGAGAACAGCAGGTTGGACCTCACTGTAACCACTGAAAATCTGGCATGCCTGGCTCTCCACATGTCACCTATCTATCTGCCTGTGTTTTTGTGGAGCTAGCAGGATGAACCGTGTAGAGAAGTGACATGGCCCTATCAGATAGCAGAAAGTTTCTGAGATGTGTTTGCTAAATCAGAGCTATGTCTATTGTAAGATAAACATGCAAAAATAGTTGAGACCAACTAAGGCATCGTATACTAAAACTGTTTCAGCTTTTTCTAACTGCCTCCCCTCTTCCTATCCTTTGACATTCCACTACTGACAAGCTTGATTCAAACTACCAGGAGTAAAACAAATCAGTGTGCATACACACACACTCACGCACTCACACTCACACATATCTATGTCAAGCTGTTTGAAATCAACATTAGGCAGCTTGTGCTAGCCTGTTATGTAAATCTTCTGCTGCAAATGGATTCGGTCAAACCAACTGCCTTCCATCTCCTGTAATGAGACCCACTTCAGCACTCCGCTCTTTGCTGTGACAAGTCTATAGGTTAATTGTCATTCTCTAAATAAATAAAAATCCCTGCACTGACCATAGCTCCAGAGAGACAACTGAGTGGCTTGTAGGACTTTTCTTGTCTCTCGCTACACGTCCTTTAACAGTTTTCCATCTTAATGAAGTCATGGCCCTTTAGGAGATTAGAGAACCGTGCTTCCTATTGAAAGAGCAGTAAGGAAGAATTCAGCATAAATTGCTCACTCTCAGCTTATAAACTGATTAACTTACTGCTTTCACTGCCGGGGAAATGTGTTCCATTTTAACACTGTGAACTGCACATTTTTGGTCCCCTTGTTTAACTGGCAAGAAAGGTGTGATTTATATGCAGAAGTTTTGCTCCTGAATGGGCTGAAGATGTGTACACTTAATGTGACATTCATGCAAGCAATGGGAAAGA